CTTGCTTGTATGTTTTGAAGTTATATTAGTTTAAAATTCTTAACATACAACTGTTTTACTTCTTCTACTTCAAGATGGCGCCGCAAATGGCAGCTAGGATGCTGAGCTCAGCAATTCGTCTGATGTTTTTGTTTGTTTGTTCTGTGTTTTGTCATTCTTCTATAAGCAAGTGTCATTTGGTCAGTACTTGTCTTTTGAATATCTAGGGATTGTGTTGAAAGGTGCTCCACGCATTCTGTTTATTATTACTTACAGGCCTCCAAAATACTCTCCAGCCTTTGTTGCAGAGTTCACAGAACTGTTATCAATGATTTCCTCAGAGTTTGACTGTTTTGCTATTGCAGGGGATTTTAATATTCACATATTTAATAATAACTATAGACCAATATCAAATCTTCCTTTTATAGGCAAGATTATTGAAAGGGTTGTTTTTAATCAGCTGAACAACTACTTAAATTCAAATGGATACCTGGACAAGTTTCAATTTGGTTTCCGACCGCACCACAGCACAAAGACATCAAAAAGATAATAAATGATTCTGGCAATGCGGTTCTGTGGCTGCGGTTCTGAAACTGCTGTGCTGCGGGTCTGCAGCTGGATATATCTCGTGAGAGGAGGGAAATACTACGAGGAAATAGAGTGGGGGGGAACTACAAAACATAACTGCACTACATTGCAGTACAACTGTAGATTTGCAGTATAATGAAGTATACCTTAGTTTCAGTAGTCATGTCAAAGCAGTAACTAAATCAGCGTATTTTCATCTCAAAAACATTGCAAGAATTAGATGTTTTGTTTCCAGTCAAGACTTGGAGAAACTTGTTCATGCCTTTATCACCAGCAGGGTGGACTATTGTAATGGTCTCCTCACCGGCCTTCACAAGAAGACCATTAGACAGCTGCAGCTCATCCAGAACGCTGCTGCCAGGATTCTGACTAGAACCAGAAAATCTGAGCATATCACACCAAGTCCTTAGGTCCTTACAGTGGCTTCCAGTTATATTTAGGATTGATTGTAAAGTACTTTTACTCGTTTATAAATCACTAAACGGCCTAGGACCTAAATACATAGCAGATATGATCACTGAATATAAACCTAACAGACCACTCAGATCATTAGGATCAGTCAGTTAGAAATACCAAGGGTTCACCCAAAACAAGGGGAGTCTGCTTTTAGTTATTATGCCGCCCGCAGTTGGAATCAGCTTCCAGAAGAGATCAGATGTGCTAAAACATTAGCCACATTTAAATCTAGACTCAAAACTCATCTGTTTAGCTGTGCATTTACTGAATGAACACTGTGCGATGTCTGAACTGATTGCACTGTATTTTATGTATAATCATTTTTATTCTTAACTGTTTTCATTCATTTTAAATCAATTTTTAAATCATTTTAACATTTTTTAATTCCTTGTTTGTTTTGTGATTTTTTTTTCTTTCATGATTATTTTAAATCCTTTTATATGTAAAGCACTTTGAATTACCATTGTATATGAAAAGTTTTATATAAATAAACTTTGCCTTGCCTAAAAACTGCAGGACGGTAGCTCTCCAGGAGCAGGGTTGGAGATCCCTGTCCTATACATATTTTTTTTTTTTTCAAGGGGTCCTAAAATAATAAGAAAATATTAATATTAATGTATAATCATAACAAATATTAAATAGGAATATTATTTATATATTGTTTGTGACATACCCCTTGAGATGTACTATGTGGTTTTGAGGAGGTCCCAACAATTTATTAATAAAATATGATTAGATGTATGATTATATATATAATCATGACAATTAAATAGTAATTAGGAATATTTATATACATTGTGATGTACATTCTCTTTTTCCAGGAGGTCTCAAAATCTAATATATAATCTAAAATCAGGAGCAGTGTTGGAGATCCCTGTCCTATACATTTTTTTTTTTTTTTCAAGGGGTCCTAAAATAATAAGAAAATATTAATATTAATGTATAATCATAACAAATATTAAATAGGAATATTATTTATATATTGTTTGTGACATACCCCTTGAGATGTACTATGTGGTTTTGAGGAGGTCCCAACAATTTATTAATAAAATATGATTAGATGTATGATTATATATATAATCATGACAATTAAATAGTAATTAGGAATATTTATATACATTGTGATGTACATTCTCTTTTTCCAGGAGGTCTCAAAATCTAATATATAATCTAAAATTTGTTAAGTATGTTAATTATGAAGTAATATAACAAAATTAATATAATAATAAAACAACATTTAATTTTAATTAGAATATTATTTATTTTGGAATCCCAAAATATAATTGAATATAAATTAAAAGGCAGTAAAATAAATACAGTAAAGGCAGTAAAAAAAAAAAAGTGTGATATATAGTGATGAGAACTGGAGAAATAAAATAAGCACCTAAAATGAAAGTAATGTCAAAGCTTAATGCAAAATGTAAAGATGCTGATGGGTTGATGACAGGTTTTGTGAGCTTCACCTGAACTGAACTGTGATGGTTTTATGCACCTGTAATGAGTTGGTGAGGTCTCTGCGCTCCTCTCTGAAGATCCTGTGAGAGAAGCTGAGTGCTTTCATCAGGACACAGAGGCAGAATCACAGAGTTCAGCATCTCTGAGACACACAGAGAAACACAAACTCAATCTGTGCTTGGTCTGCCTCGCATGCTGTCAGTGTGTGTGATCAGTTACCGGAGCAGTCCTGAGCTCTCTTATGGGATGTTGGGGATCTTGCAACCTGTTTGTGCGCCATAAGCCCAGACCCTGCAGATACTGTAACATCAGCATGACATTAAAAATCACTGCAACTTAAAACGCTGGCATGTAATGCAACATAGAGCTTTTCTTTTACAGTGTATACAACTTAAAAGGCGGTTATTGTGAAAGAACTGGTCAGTTTCTTCTGCAACAAAGCAAACTAGCTTGGTTTTTGGCCTTTTTTGTGCAATTTTTAAATTTATAGCATTACCAAAAATGGATTTCTACATCAATTGAATTCCTAAATATATATGAATATGCAAATATTATAACTTATATACAGTATGTCTTACGAGAGCAAAAGGTGTTCTCTCAGAAGGCAGATTAGACATTAAAGTTCATATAGACCGTTACAGAGCAAACTGAGATCACAAGCGACTTCAGTTCATTTAATCAAACATTTCATCTGCAGGTTTCCTTCATCTCATCAGTGATTGAGAGCTTCAGTCTATGTAACAGCAGCTGTGAGCACAGACCTCATATCAGATACAAAACACACTTCAATTATAATATTATAAAATGCATATATTTTATAATATATTATAAAATGCAATATGCATTTTAAAGCCCATTCAACAAAAGACAACCAATGATCAATAACACTTTATTTTAAAAGCAAGTTTAGCAAAAAGTCAATGAAACGAGAAAAAAAGGTTTAAACGTAACCTGTTCATTCAGTAGGTGATCAGGGTTTCCTCAACACTGCACATATTGTGTCTAACTCATCAGACACACCTGATTCAACTCAAAGATCATTAATCGAGACTCTAAGACCTCAAATAAGCGTCAGATAAAGGAAGACGTCCAACATGTGTACTGTTGAGGACACAAAGCATGCTTACAAACGACCTTCAAACCAAATCCTGCTGGCCATAAATTAGTAAAAGACTATAGTAGAAAAATGTCATTTAATTTCTGATAGAAAAAATACTCTTAATAGTTTAATACTTTCATTCCTTCCACATAAACCAGGGTAAACACTTCATACAATCTTCAAGGAAGTCTTTTTGTTTTATAAAATGCGCATTACAAATAAAATAGTGTTCAAAACATGGGATGTGTTATGGGTTTTTACACAGTTGATTGTACCATACAGTGTTAATTCAGCATAGTCAACATATTATTACTCATAATACAGTTCATACAAATAGACAGCAACTGTGCAGATATGAAGAAAATGAACACAGCAGAAATATTTCTTGTTTTGCTATGCTAAGTAGTGTTTGTGTGTGTGTGTAGTGCTCCAGGAGGTCTTTATGGAGTAGTGTAAAGGTAGAAACAGACACTTGAAGGCAGCCACATCATCTGAAGCGCTTCACCAGCTCTGAAATAACAGATTTAATATAGATATTAGTATATTTAAAGGAGTAGTTCAAAAATGGAAATTTGCTGAGAACAGGCCACCCAGTATGTAAGTGAGTTTCTTCATGGGAACAGATTTGGAGAAATGTAGCATTGCATCACTTGCTCAGCAGGGGATCCTCTGCAGTGAATGGGTGCCGTCAGAATGGCTTCACCAGCTCTGAAATAACAGATTTAATATAGATATTAGTATATTTAAAGGAGTAGTTCAAAAATGGAAATTTGCTGAGAACAGGCCACCCAGTATGTAAGTGAGTTTCTTCATGGGAACAGATTTGGAGAAATGTAGCATTGCATCACTTGCCAGGCAGGGGATCCTCTGCAGTGAATGGGTGCCGTCAGAATGAGAGTCCAAACAGCTGATAAAAACATACACAAGTAATCCACACCACTCCAGTCCATCAGTTAATGCCTTGTGAAGTGAAAAACCGCATGTTCGTAAGAAACAAATCCACCTATAAGGCGTTTCAACTTAATTCAAGAAATACGAGTCCATACGCAAAATATGAGTCCATAATGACGCTTCATCTAGTACAATCTGCTGTCCATCCGCTGTTGTCCTCTCACATCAAAATCCACCAACTTATTTATTTAGAACTGCTTGTAAATGGTACTTGATCTGTGCATATTTCTCTCCTGATTCAGGCAAGATTATTTTTTCACTGGAGGAAACAATATTATGGATTATGGACACACATTTTTGCCAGAAGCAACAGTTTGAAGGTAAAAATGTCTTGATGGATTTGTTTCTTACAAACACACAGCTTGTGGATTACTTGTGTATTATTGTGACGTGTTTATCAGCTGTTTGGACTCTCATTCTGACGGCACCCATTCACTGCAAGAGGATCCACTGCTGAGCAAGTGATGTAATGCTACATTTCTCCAAATCTGATGAAGAAACAAACTAATCTACATTTTTGATGGGCTGATACATTTTTGATTGCGTATGCATTTACTAAACGCATCTACGGTGCTTTAGAAGGACAGGATGTAGGTAACCTATGTGTGATCAGACAGCAGTCGTTCAGAGGAGGCCGCAGGACTTGGGCGGGCGGAAGGGGTTGTCGCTGGACGGTACACCCACCAGCAGCGGGTCTTTATGGGCGTTCTGCAGGCAGAAGTTCTTCAGGTCTGTGGCAGCTTGAGAAACCTACAGAAATTACAATTAAGTCAACATTTTAAACGATAATATGCATTGAGTGCACACACCCCTGAGCAAACGTAACAGTTTTATTCCTGTCTATATTTTAAAGGTTTTATAGAGGGGTTAAAAACAAGAATTCTGAACCTTGCCTTATCTAATGTTCAGGATTCTGTTCTGGAAATGTATGCAAATTAGTGCAAATTTAATTAGCTAATACATAATTTGCACATTTAAACATAACATTTCAAAAGACTTTTGGAAAATTATTCTTAATGTACTGTGATCAAGTTTTTTTTAACCTATTAGTACCCTGCCCTACATTTATGGTTGTAATAAGCTTTTCTATAAGTTATCTGATCGCTTCTGAGCATTAAACAAAGTAAATCTGTTTTTGTCAGAGTGGCATGACGAATTTATAGGATGTAAAAAGTAATTAACTGAAAAACTAGGTTAACACTACTTTGAAAAAATAACATTGGCAATGATGGATTTGTTTCTTACAAACACACAGCTTGTGGATTACTTGTGTATTATTGTGACGTGTTTATCAGCTGTTTGGACTCTCATTCTGACGGCACCCATTCACTGCAAGAGGATCCACTGCTGAGCAAGTGATGTAATGCTACATTTCTCCAAATCTGATGAAGAAACAAACTAATCTACATTTTTGATGGGCTGATACATTTTTGATTGCGTATGCATTTACTAAACGCATCTACGGTGCTTTAGAAGGACAGGATGTAGGTAACCTATGTGTGATCAGACAGCAGTCGTTCAGAGGAGGCCGCAGGACTTGGGCGGGCGGAAGGGGTTGTCGCTGGACGGTACACCCACCAGCAGCGGGTCTTTATGGGCGTTCTGCAGGCAGAAGTTCTTCAGGTCTGTGGCAGCTTGAGAAACCTACAGAAATTACAATTAAGTCAACATTTTAAACGATAATATGCATTGAGTGCACACACCCCTGAGCAAACGTAACAGTTTTATTCCTGTCTATATTTTAAAGGTTTTATAGAGGGGTTAAAAACAAGAATTCTGAACCTTGCCTTATCTAATGTTCAGGATTCTGTTCTGGAAATGTATGCAAATTAGTGCAAATTTAATTAGCTAATACATAATTTGCACATTTAAACATAACATTTCAAAAGACTTTTGGAAAATTATTCTTAATGTACTGTGATCAAGTTTTTTTTTAACCTATTAGTACCCTGCCCTACATTTATGGTTGTAATAAGCTTTTCTATAAGTTATCTGATCGCTTCTGAGCATTAAACAAAGTAAATCTGTTTTTGTCAGAGTGGCATGACGAATTTATAGGATGTAAAAAGTAATTAACTGAAAAACTAGGTTAACACTACTTTGAAAAAATAACATTGGCAAACATTGCATTAAAAGTGAAATTTATTGCACAGTATTATATATAAAAAAAGGCATTTTCATATTGGGGTCTTTTAGGCTGGGTCACCATAATTAATGCACACAAAAACAAAAAGTTTAGTTTGGACACATACCAAGGTTTTACAATTGTATTCTTAAAAGTAACATAATAAACAATGAATTACCATAGTATTGCAATCTGATACCATCACTCATAGTACCACCACCACAGCTTCCTTTTGCATATATTTACATTATTGAGCATGAGACACAACTTCTAACAGTTGTCTGAACTTTACGCCTGAAATACGCTTCTGGAAGTTAAAAAACTCGTATAAAACAGCTTAAAAGCATCTCGGACGTCAAAAAAACTAAAGTTATTTACCTATACATGAGTTAAAACGCGTTTAAAATGTTGTTTTGTCGGTTAGCGTTAGCACTAGCAGTGACTCAAACCGGTTAAACTCATCCATAAACTCTCAAAATCCAAAACTCTTTCACGTTTATTGTTGAAGCTGGCATACTTACGTTAATTCGCCGTATTTTGGCCTCTAGTCTGAGCTGTTTGACGGCTTTCTGCACGACAGCCACACTGCTGCTGCTAGCGTTGTTGTTGGACATGATGACTGACGGACTCCAAGAGAGTTCGCGGAAGTTTGAGAAACACACACACACAATGTTGTGTTTCCATGGTTTATGGGGACATTCCATCGGCGGAATGGTTTTTATACTGTACAAACTATTTTCTATCGCCCTACACCAACCCTACACCTAAACTTAGCCCTCACAGTAAACTTTCTGCATTTTTAGATTTTCAAAAAACTTCCTTCTGTATGATTTATAAACTTGTTTCCTCATGGGGACCTAAAAAATGTCCCTACAAAGTCAACATTTACTGGTGTTACTATCCTTGTGGGGACATTTGGTCCCCATAACGTGATAAATACCAGGTACACACACACACACACACACACAGACAGACAGGCACGCACACACACACACACACACACAAACGTACTGTAACATACTGTATATAGGCTTTTGAAAATTGTTTTATATACACATTATAATACGTTTTACATTTTAGGATTAAAATGTAGGATTTAGGATTTTTTTTTTTTTTTTTTTTAAAAATGGGGGTTTTGTCAAATTTAACTTACTTTGGGGGAGAGTATTGGAAAGTATATGAACACATGCGCAGTGTCTCACAGACTAGACAGCAACGCTGTTAACAGTCTGAAACCAAGTAACATTACTTTCGCAAGTATAGCCTAAGTGAGAAACAAGTCAAACAGGCAGAGTGTTATTATTAGCCATATATATATATATATCTTTCATAATCTCTTGAAAATTGAATTCTGTTCTAGGGACACAAAAATATGACATTGTGATGTACAAAAGGTACAAAAGCTGTTAGTGGGGTGATACTTTTTCAAAAGTCACTGAATTGTACCATTTACGTACTGATATTTACCTTTATGTTACTAATATGCCCCCGTTATGGGTAAATATGGTACAAATGTGTAGCTTTTGAAAAGGTACTGCCTCACTGACAGCTTTTGTATTTTTCTATTGTAGTGTACATATGGCTCAGACTCCTCCTTCGATGTGGGCCTTTTATCATTTCCAACCGATGAAGTGATGAACTCAACACAACTGATGAACTCATTTTGAGTTATGTTCAAGTCCTCGTCAAAAACAATGTGGGAAATAATGCATGGTAAGCATGAGCTATACTAATAATGATATTTGGGGCCATCAGAGCTACAGTATTTTCCGTAGTTATGACACCATCTAAGACAAGTGTGGTCAGCAGTTTTTTTTTTTTTTTCAGAGTTGATATACATTTCTCACCATAGTTTCACAGGGGAAGAGGACATGTTATTTTGGTCTCAGGCTATCTTGTCTCACCAGTCTTTGTCTTTACTACTGTTTTTATGTTCGTCATTAGAAGACTACAGTATCATGGTAATATATTTCATTTTAAGAGGACATGTTATTTTGGTCTCAGGCTATCTTGTCTCACCAGTTTTTGTCTTTACTACTGTTTTTATGTTCGTCATTAGAAGACTACAGTATCATGGTAATATATTTCATTTAAAATCATGTTTAGTTAAAATTACTGCAATGATTGATTGCTTACTGCACTGCATTTTAGCACAAGACAACACTTATGGTAGTAAGGAACAGTCTGGTCATTTGTGGCCACTTTAAGTCAAGCAATGATAAGAACAAGGCTTCTATTACATGCTTCTGTAAAAGGTTAAGGAATAATGACAACAGAATACATATTATTTACTTGTCTTAATTAAGTGTGTGAAGACTGAATCAGATATTTGATTCATGGAGGTTTTTGCATGATAAATCTCATGTCTTGCAGGTGTGTCCAGCTCTACTGCTTCAATCCTTCATCTGGATCTCTCTGATGGCAAAGGGTAACATACCTGTGATGTGGTAACGTAATGAACACCAGTCTTTACCGAAGACTGTTTTCCGATAAGCAGAAAACAAAGCTGTTTTACTGGCAGCACATTTGCGTAAAACAACTTCTCTTACAGCATCCAGTGTCGCTTCAGTTAAGGTCAAACGGTCACAGTTTACAGCTTTCTGTACTTGCAGTGTAGTCCCTTCTGAGCCCTTTATTTTTAAGAGTTTTAAGGTTCTTCATGGAACCATAATGCTAATTAAGAACCTTGATTTTTAGTGTGTCTCAAAGCAGCCTTCCAAGCATGCACTGGTGTGTATTCCAGGTGTGCAGTATGACGTGACTCATATCGTCAGCACAATGTGTGTGGTCCGGCAGTCGACGGTGCTCATACCCTGCAAACACACTTCTCGATACGAGCAGGTGAGCGCAGCCGAATGGCTCTTTGAGAAATCGCCGTGGCAGAGGGTCAGGGTGTCTCAGGACCCTGCGTTTGTAGGCCGTGTGGAGTTTGTGCAGCCTGCCGCGGGAAACTGCTCGCTGCTGCTGAGGGACGTGAGGGAGAGTGACGCCGGCATCTTCCGGTTTGTGCTCAGCACTACTTCCGGGCGAAATTGGACAAACGATCAGGGAATCCAGCTAGAAGTAACAGGTGAGTGGAGAGCCGGATAGGTGATAGGTGTGAATAAAGACCTTTTACATTTCAATGTAAGAACTGGAATTGAACTGATTATACAGAATCAACCACTAATCATTTTGGGCTGCTTAAAGCTAAACCATGTAACTTTTTTTCAGAAATAACAATATTTAAATAATAAGCGAGTACACTATGCAAGTTTTGGCCCTCTAGCGGGCCTTCAACCGCTAGGGGTCCAAAAGGTACATAGTGTAGCATTTTGAAAAATGTAAATATAAAGATCTTGTCTCACAAAAAGATCTTTATATTTACATTGATTCCTTGGGCAGATGTCCATATCCAGAGTAATTTACATCGCATTGCATTACATTTACATACACTATAGCAGCGGTTCTCAAAGTTTTGGGGGCCAGGGACCCCTCACAGGGGAGAAAACTTTCCAAGGACCGCTAATAATTATAAAAGCAGTTAAGCATATGCTTACTACAATTTGTACTCTTTTGGCACTTCTGTTTTCCTGGAATTTGGATTTTTTTCTGGATTATATTAAATCGACCTTTCCCCCCCCCATTTAAATAATAATAAAAAAATAAGAATAGTCTGATAATTTGAAATCATACAATATATAGTTTATCAAAAAATATGAAATCTGTTTTATTTTTTCTCAAATTTAGTTTTATTCTCAAATTCAGTGTTTTACATTTTAATTTTTCTGGATTTAATTTTAATGGTTTAATTACATTTTAATAATCCAAAAGGATGTTTAATGAATTAAACTTAATATTTTATTACATTTTTACAACAATATATGGCCATATGAAATGTTTTACTTTCTTCAGAAAATGTGTGTTGTTGTTTTTCTTTCTTTTTAAAGGAATAATCACACTATAATCACACTGATATTTGTGTTATTTAACATTTCATTATTGCATGTGTAACGAGGGAGGTGTGATGACAAAGTGGGGATCCAAATGCAAGGCTTTAATAAGAGCAGTCAAACAGGCGTGGTCAACAACAGCAAACAACGATGGCAGTGGCAAGGCAAAAGAGTAATCCAGATAATCAGGCAATGGTCAGGGCAGGCAGCAAAACAATCATAAACAAGAAAACAGTCCAGGGATCAAAACACGAAGGCAAGGAAACAGAGAAACTAGAAACACGGAAACTTAGAAACCACGGAAGAGCTATACAACATTCAATCACCAGCGATGACAGAGAGTGTGTGTGCTATTCTTATAGTCCTACTAATGTGAGACAGCTGTGAACTGATGATGAGATCTGATGAGGGACAGGTGATGCACTTGATGAGTCCGGGCAAAGGATTATGGGAAATGGAGTCCTGAGTGAATGGCAAGGTACAGAATGGAGTGCCCTCTAGAGGAGCTCATGGGCACTCCAGCTGGAGATCATGACAGCATGTTTGCATTATATTCTGAATTTGCATTTCACTGTTTATATTCATTTCGAGGAATACTGAATCTGTTTTTGTGCAAGGGAGGGGAGTAAATGCATGCTCACATTTAGTCTAGCAATACAACAAGCATTAATACAATGCTTCTGCACTTACTCCCGATTTCTCTAAACATGGGAAAAAATCGGAAAACAAAGTAACTAGTATTACTTATTTGAAAAAGTAACTTAAAAATAAAAAGTAATGTGTTAGTAACTTGAGTAATTTAAAGTAAAGTAGTCTGATTACTTAACTTATGTTACTTGTAATGCGTTACCGCTGATAAACACACATGTTAAGCATAGACTTCTTCTTTCTGGTCCAGATGCGGAGCTGGAGGTAAAGACCGAGTCTGATGTTGTGATGGAGGGTGACTGGATTTTGTTTGTCTGTGGTTCATGCATCCCCTCCATGACTGTACCAACCTACATTTGGAGGAAAGATGGGCATCTGCGCAGTCAACACCATGGGGACAACTTACTTGTTTTGGAGTCTGTCGAGCTGGAGGACAGAGGCCGATATTCCTGCACCATAAGCGGTCATGAGGGACTCAACTCCATCACATCTGCTGAAATCACTGTTAGACCTGGATGTAAGTTAGCTGAGAGCTTTATTTTGAAACATCTCAGGTGTCTTCAGAATGAAATGACAGTTCTTTCTGCAGGGGAAAAAATTGAGTATTGTTTATCCACAATCATCAGTCTGTTTCACTGTTTCTGATAATAATGCTTACAAAGCTACAGCAATAAACAAATGTTTTACTGCTTGTCATTCCTCACTTCTTTGTCTGTTTAGATCCTCCAAAGAGCGTCTCGGTGTCCATCAGTGCGTCTGGTGAAATAGTGGAGGGAGATTCAGTGACTCTGCGCTGCAATAGTAATGCAAAACCACCTGCAGAAATCAACTGGTATCAGCTGTTGGATCTGGACAGAGTTTCAGTGCACTACAGAGTGGACGCTTCTACTGTGAGGCTTACAATCAACACGGATCTCAGAGATCAGACGCTGTTTCAGTCTCTGTTAAAGGTGAGAATCATCTCTGTTGATCTCAGTCAGCTCATTGTCTGTATGTGAAGAGTAACAGTTCTTCTTCCTCTCGTCTGCACGGCTGAAGAAAGCAGCTCATCTCTGATCAGGGTCACGGTGGGAATCACTGCAGCTGTTGTCTTGATGTCTGTGGTTTTCATCGGGCTGTTGATCAGAAGGTGAAGGAGACTCTGTGTCTGTACTGTCAGAAAGATTCAGAGTCAGTTTGTGTTCACGTTCATTTCTTCTTCTCTCTCAGGAAACGAGCGACTCCATCAGAAGAGCACAAGCACGGAGGATCAGGACACAATAAGACAGTGAGTACGTCTCCTCATCTGTGTCTGTCAGTTCTGGAGGGAGAATGAATTCTCTCATTATTGTGTGTCGTCAGGAGTCTCCTGAGGACGCCTACATGAGCCTTGAGCCCAAGTCCAGATGTTCTGAATACGACACTCTGGATGTGAGTTCCTCTGCTGTTGCTGTTTATCATGTGGATGTTTAACATCAGATCTTATTAGTGATGAATATGTTCACTTCTTCTCTAGAATATGAAGAGATCCTGTGAAAACACAGACCAACATGAAGCTCAGGATCCTATATATGATAACATTGTTCAAAACTGACAATTGATTTGTTTTTAAATCTTATTTAATTTGACAATTTTAATTCGATCTGACATCTTCATTTCATTTGTCAGTTCATTTGGCATTCGTTTTTAAAGCTGTGCTGTGAAAATGCACAGTATTTTTTACTTTTGAGTTATCTCTTTACATTGACACAGGAAAGTTGTATTTACCTAGAATATTAAGTACTTTCAACTTGACAAATTTAGTTAATTGTCAAGTTTATGAAAGTAAAGTGGACTTACTTTAAGCTTTCAAAACCAAATTTCATGTTCATTTCACCTAAGTTGGCATATTTTCTTATTCAACCAAATAAATGCTTCTTTCATTTCAACTGTTGTTTTATTTCAAATGTTTCAGCCGTGTTTCGGTAGTTGAAATATTTAATATTGTAACTTAAGTACAAACAACTTGACTGAGTCAATGTAAAATAACTCAAAATGTTAAGTTAAATGAATATGAAGTTTGGTATTTAATTTTGCCTTACTTTTTATAAAGTTATTTTAAACAAACGTTATGCTTACAATTCTAGGTAACCTAACTGAGTCAATGTAAAAAAGATAACTCAAAAAGTTAAGAAAACGAACAAACAAACAAACAAATATTAAGCAAGTAAAAAATGTGAATATCACATAAATGCTGAGAAACATCTCAACTGTTAAAAACGTCAGTTTATTGCATGTTCCCAAAAATATTGAAACACAGGATGCAGCATTGCATATGAGCTGCAGCCTTCTGTTTGTGAAAGAGTTGCTTCATGCATCTTAACAAATGAGTGTCATCTAAATGCGTGTAAAAGTAAAGAGGACTTGCTTTAAACAATGCTACAACAACAAGGTGTCTTCTTTGTCTATATTTCAGGCGTTTTTGCGTTTACTTAAGCTGGGTTAGAAAAAAAAAAAAACGTTTACTTAAGCTGGGTTAAAAAAAAAAAAAAAAAAAAAACTCTACAAACGTGAAAAACTCCCTTAACTTTGTAAACGGCACCTTAGGCTGTTTCCTTACCATTATTTCCTTCAGCTTGTTTACAACCGCAGAAGATTGTTATGCACTGTTTTCACCTTTCTTTCCCTTTTTAGACTGCTTTAACTTAAATGTGTATTGTACAAAACGCTATGCAAATAAAAATGAATTGGAGCAACATTTTATCGTATCTCGCTGTTTGCTTTATTTCAGGCAGTGTGCGAATACAGTGAATTTTCGTTTTAAAAATGATTTCTATCAGGTGTTTTTGTGATAAATAACGGTCGTGTTTTTAAGTGGTGTTCTTATAGGTAAGAACTAGATTTAACAGGTTTTTCAGAACAGGGCATTGAGGAGGGTTGCAACAGCATTTCTTGTCTAAGGTTAATCTGACACGTTTACAGCAGGTCATCCGGTAAAGAAATCTCGATTCCAACACAGCCGTTTGATGTGCGTGTAGTTACATGTGCTCTCCTCTAGATGTCGCGTCAGGTCGGTGAGCTGCAGAGGTGTGGCGCGTGAAGGCGCTGTCCGCGGTGCTGATCGCTCACTCATCAACTGTGACACGTGTGTGGAATGTTCAGAGTTCTATTCCAAAATATAAGTAAACTATCTATCTATCTATCTATCTATCTATCTATACAAGTTGGACAAGCAGCTGTGCCTTTCATCTCAGTGTGTTTGTCACCATCCTTGATTCAACTTACCAAGGCCTCCTCAATGCCCTGTTCTGAAAAACCTGTTAAATCTGGTTCTTACTTATAAGAAAAATGCCACTTAAGATCTTAATGCACTGTAAAATCCAATAGTTTACCGTACTTAGATTTAATTAGTTATCTTTACTTAGTTGTTATACTTACTAGGTTTTATTAAGTTACAGCTACTTTCAAGGCAAATAAAACAATTTACTTACTGTTTTGAGTGACACTTACTTAAAATATTCAAGTAGCCACAAAGGAACCAATGACATTAATAAACCAATGAGAGTCAGCAGTGCACTAATATGTTGCTAATGTGCAACAAAACAACAGAAGAAAATAAGATAAATAAGAAAAAAGAGTCTTAGACTTTTCACCCATTTCCTCCATGTCTGCAGTTATCTTTCACTAGTTGCATTCACTCATTTCCCAAAGTCATCTTGAATGTTAAATTCTCAATACAACTGAAATATTTGAGAGAACATCACATAAGCTAACTTCATAAATTGATGTTGATTTTCCTAAAATGTGTTTTTTTTTTTAACTCACCATTATAGTGATTAGCGTTCCCTTTGGTTGGGCACTTTGAACTTGAGTTATGTTAATATAATTTTCTTTCTCTTAATGCAGCAATGCATCATGAAGTCAGAGTTATTAGATTTCAAGGAAAGTTATAAATAGGTTGTTTATAGAAGATGATCTATCTCATAATTAAAGCATTAGTGAGTTTTTTGTATGTTTATTATTGAACCTTTTCAAATTTCATGTTTCATAAATACATTGAGATGATTTTAATTGGGTTCATAAAATCCTTAAATAGTGTGTGGTATTATGTTAAAGTCACACACAGACTTAAACATTCAGCACGTGAACCCCCCCTACAGTTCTTTTTTAGTTACTAGAACTCTCGTGTAAGTAAACTATACTAACTAAGCATCTGTCAGTACAACATACTATTCCTATTTCACTTTACTTAGTTTTTTCAAGGCAATCGGTTTGCATGCTTTTTTAAGTAAGCCCAACTAATTAGATTTTACAGTGTGGGATGTTTCACCTCAGTTCCTTGTGTTTAGAGCATTGTGAACTTCCATTCACATGTTTCAAGTTGAGATCTATTCCATAAACAACTTGTGTAAGTTGTCTTTGCAAAATGTCTTTGCATTGTGAAAGCAGCCTTACAGTTAACCACATTCACTCATTTTATTTGAATTCTAATATAAGGTATAGTGAATGATCAATTATTAAATCCTCCTGATTTTGCTTATTACTCTATATTTATGTGAAATAGCTGGGTTACTTGTTGAATGAGGTTTGATGACTGTTTTAGAGGAAGTCAATGCTGTTAAGAAGCCATTTCTCACGTGTGCATGTTGCACTTTTCTCATGGCTCTTACAACACCAGCATAACCGTAAAAAGAAAGAAAAAGAGGAAGGTGAGCTATTTTCTCCAGTGCCACGTGAATGTCACATTGACTTGAGTTTCCATAGTTTTTCAGTGAACTTGCATGTAAAAAAATCTCTTCAGTTCAGCTCCCATCTATCTGATTTAATGCAATGAGGTTTGATTGATTCTCATCAGGGTTGGCTGAGTATCTGTGTTGAGATATGCTCTAGTGTCCTGTGACTGGTGGAGGAGCGTCTCACACTCAGACAGAGGAAGTGATGAGAGACAGGATGTCTGATAATAGTTAAATATTGCATACAGTGCATCAACTATCATTGCTACATGACACTCAAACCCTGCAGATCAAAGCAAGGTAGGGACAACTATATTTTTACAATGCAAATACATATTTTTCTACAGTTTCGATATAGGTAGATGATTAAATATTACATTTAAATATGCAAATACACTTAAGTCTGCCGTACATTAGTGTCTTTTTAACACCATTCCAAATGTTTTCTAGAATGTTCAGCCTATTCTCTTTGATTTCTCTGCTCGTGATTCCTGGTGAGTCTCAAAATCTCATTTTCATGAAGAAATAGTCCAGTATGTTTTTCTGTATACTGTGTTTAATGACAGTTTGATGTGTATGGTGGAAAAATGTTGCTCATATATTGTAGTTTTTCAGTTGAATGTTTAAGTCTGTGTGTGACTTTAGCATATTACCACACATGATTTAAGAACTATATAAACCCAATTAAAATCATCTCAAGGTATTTATGAAAAAAGAAATTTGAAAAAGTTCATAAATAAACACACACACAAAAAAATTTCACTAATGCTTTAATTAGAAGGCAAGTCACCTTCTAAAAGCAACCTATTTATTACTATTCTTCCCTTGAAATCAAATAACTCTGACTTCATGAAGCATTACTGCATTAACAGGAAAAAAATTATAGTAACATAAGCTAAGTTCCAAGTGCCCAACCAAAGGGAACGCTGAAAGATAACTGCAGACATGGAGGAAATGGGTGAAAAGTCTATTAAGACTCTTTTTCTTTTCTTCTTCTTCCTGCTGCCTCTCACTGGTTTATTAATATCATTGGTTCCTTTGTGGCTGCTTGAATATTTTAAGTAAGTGTCACTCAAAACAGTAAGTAAATTGTTTTATTTGCCTTGAAAGTAGCTGTAACTTAATAAAACCTAGTAAGTGTAACAACTAAGTAAAGATAACTAATTAAATCTAAGTAAGGTAAACTATTGGATTTTACAGTGATGCAAAACGAACACAGACACCCGCAGTACTGTGCATTATTGCCTATAGTGACAGATCAAATTAGACACTTCCTGGAAATACTGGCTAGTGGCGCCATTTCTGTGTTCATGTAACTGTTCTTGTTCATGTTCTGTGTTTTTTGTTATTCACTTGGTGGCATGTTAGAAAGTTAGGGATACAGAGAGCAGGACTATGACTGACATGTTGATCCTATATTATACTTTGTCTTCTTACAATGTCAGGTTACAATGAGTAAAACTGAAGAGTTATGATATATTTAACAAAAACTATAAACACAATCAAAGCAAACATTGAGGTACATGACGTAAGGGTGAGCACATCTTACTTTAGCACTCTTGTGTTGTTGAGAAAAGTAAAAACACAATTACACAGAATGGAAGAAATTTCATGTATTTGCCTGTTTCATATTTTCCAGTGATCTGCAGCCAGGAATGGCAGGTTCAGTACTCATTTCCGATGAAATGTGCCCTAAAGGGTTCAACAACACATTTATCAGGCAGTTATAACCATCCAAATCATCACACTGTGACAGAGACATTCTGGACTGTAAACCCAGTTAAAGGTAAAGAACCCGTCAATCTGTTGGATCATCCAGATTACAAAGGCAGAGTTCAGTATTTACCTGATAAAGAGCAACGAGCTTTTGTTCTCAAACTCAGTAATGTGTCACATCAGGATGAAGGAAGGTACTGCCTCAGAATCGTGGCAAAAGAAGATAGATATCTGGGTTATCCTGGCATTGAGCTCAACGTGACAGGTACAGTCAAACTAATATTACACTGACAGATTTTACTCTGTTCTTTCTTATAAACATAAAACATGTTTTCTCCATGATTTCAGAGCTCAGAGTGGAGATTCCTGAAGAGATCGTTGAGGGAGAATCACCCGTTTTATTTTGTAAAACCACCTGTATCCTCTCAGATAAAACAGACTTTACCTGGTATAAAAACGGCAAGCGTTTATCAGAATCGAGCGACACGGATAAGCTGTTGCTGCAGTCAGTCAGCAGTGATGATACGGGAAACTACAGCTGTGCAGTGAGAGATCAGCAACATCTGCCATCTCCTGCCATCACTCTCAGCGTCAGATGTACGTCAAGACTTGATCTTCATATCAGCAAAATACAGTCCAGACTGATCAAATGATGCACTGTGAAATGTAATGTTTTTAATTTTTCAGATCCTCCAAAGAGCGTCTCGGTGTCCATCAGTCCGTCTGGTGAAATAGTGGAGGGAGATTCAGTGACTCTGAGCTGCAGCAGTGACTCAAACCCTCCTGCTCTGAACTTCAGCTGGTTTAAGGAGAATCAAAGCTCAGCTGTTGGATCTGGACAGAGTTTCATCATCTCCAGCTTTATCTCCAGTCACAGTGGACGCTACTATTGTGAGGCTCAGAATAAACATGGATCTCAGAGATCAGCGTCTGTGTCTGTAACATCTGCAGGTATTAATATGAGACTCTTACTGAACTCTGCTGGTGTCACGAGCATCATTTGAAATGATGTTTCTCTTCACTCAGGTGGCCAGAAAACCCTTCTGCATGCAGCGGCTGGAATCGGGGCGGCGCTCATCTGCATCTGTATTATTATTGTAGTAATAAAAATCAGCAGGTAAGAAAAAACTGCTGTAGTTTTTGCTGTGGAAAAACCTGAAAAACACCATACAACATCATAAAGGTGGTTTATGTGACTCGTATGCTATAACCCAAGCCATACATGTGGTGAATAAACAGATATTTAACTCATTCATCATGTAGAAAACAATCTCATTCTTCATCGTGCATTTTGAACAATGCCATATAATTAAATTTTCTTCACGTTCCTCACACTAAGCTGTCATATGACTTCAGAAGATCTATATATTATATGGTGTAAAACATACAGCATACAAGTCATATATAAAATACTTTTATGACACTTTTAACCCTTAGTCTTTTTGACCTGGAGAGGTATTCTCTTTTTCCAGTAAAAATGCTAGTTATTGTTAATCGTACTGGACTAAACCTTACTGACTTTGCTCACACAGGATATAACCACTTTTCTAAAAAAAATTTGATTTTTTTTTTTCATTTTGAAAAAATGATTGGCCTACAAAAATTGCCTATACATGTCTCATTATGCTATATTATTACAAAATATTTGATTTTAAAGTAAATATTTATTAATGGTGCTTTTTTTCCACTCAGAACTGAGGTGCATAAGCTCAGATCAATGAGGCCTATGATCAATCAGTTCCAAAAAGAAATACAAAACCTGTGCTAAATGACAGAAAACAAGCTGACAAAAAGATTGAATAACGATATATAGCATAACGAGAAAATGACAAGCAATTTTCAGAAGGCCGGTCACTTTTCAGCTAATTAGGTAAAGGATTTTCAGCACTTTTTTCAGCAGAATAAATGCAGTTTTTCCATGTTTTATTTTATTTCATTTTTCAGGATGCTTTGATGAATTGAATGTTCAAAAGAACAGCAGTTATTTGAAATACACACTTTTCTAACCTTATAAACGTCTTTTCACATTTGTCTTAAAACTTTTGAGAGTAGACACGCCCCTTATTGCTGATTGGCTACAAGTTTGTTTTGCTATTCGGCCCGAATCAGTTTTCTAAAGTGTTTTTGAAAAATCACATACCCTGCCTTTAATGCGTCCTTGAGAAATAAAAGTATTAATTTCTTTAAAAAAATCGAACGACTCCAAAACTTTGAAACTGAAGTCTATGCATGATATATAATATAGAAATGAATATTCAAAACATATCTAAAAATAAATGCATTTTATTTTCTAGTTTTTGCACATAGTGTTTGAGCTGTTGACTAGTTTGATCATATTTTTCGTATTTGTAAATAAAAAAGTATTAGAGTACGTTTAGGCTTTCTACCAAACTTCACATTTAACTCAATCAGATACTTGCTGTTTCATTGTAACTGTTTGTGAAGTGTACTAGAAATGTCGGCATGAAAATTGTTTCTGCACCACACCAGTTTCTGTGTAATCTTTGCTTTCTGTGACATGGATACTGCATGTTTCCTTTTTCTTCTCTCCAGCAGGAAAACAGGAGACGCCGGCGGCCAAAGTGACGTTTCAAAACAGGCAAGTCCAGAACAGCATCTATTTCAGCACATTTTCATGTAATTGTGATCACAGTGGGATCATCCGGACTGTGTGTGTTTATTCAGGAAAACAACAGCACAGCCGTGACGGATCAGACGAGCGCGAAACCTTCAAAAACAGCCGATCCGAATGACTTAGTGTACGCCAGCGTCACTCACAGCAGACCCAGAGAACCCCAGAGAGCTGGAGATGAAGATGAGGTTCAGTACGCCAGCGTCCAGCACCACAGAAACACCAGGAACACGACTGCGGAGGCCGGATGTCAGTATGGAAACACTGTTTCTGCCGGGTGAGACACACTCCATCATATAGCATCAATAGGGTTAAAGATGTGAACAAACACACAAACTCTCTTTCTTATTAAGAAAAATGAGGCACAGGTAGCTTAGACGAACAAGTTTTTATGGGTGCACAACATGGTTCATCTTGTTTTGTCTTTTTTATTCTTATTGAACAGATCAAATGCTGAAAAGGCGGATGATTCCGATGTGATCTACAGCAGCATCAAAGTTGCATGAAGAATCGGAGCGTCACTGAACATGCTTCTCCATTTTCCTACATTGAAGTCGGCATGAAATAGAAGTTGCGACTAAAAAGCGATTCCGCTTAACAAACAAGACTTTATTTTATACGGATAGGCCTACATATGGATGGATCGATCACAGAAAGATGCATTAAGAAAATAAACAGGGTGAATTTAAAATTTTTACTTTGTGTTGACGTTTGAGTTGAAATGTGCTTGTGTGACCGTGTGCGGTGACTTTAAATACACAACAATTGTGTGAGAAACAGGACGTGAAACTATAAGAGCTGTGAGCAAGCATATGCAAAACTTCCATTTCTGAATGGAGGAGAGGTTTAATTACGCTGAATAAACTGCTTTTGTGAGGAGACTTACGCTTAACATTTTCTTGTCGGCTAATCTTTGCCATTAAAGGGGTCATATGATGCGATTTCAATTTTTTCTTTCTCTTTGGTGTGTTGCTCCAAACACTAGTTGCAAAGACTAAAGTCTCAAATCTAAAGAGATATTTGTAAAAGTTAAGAGTCAGCCACACCTAGGAGAAACAATAATGTACAGTATGTGGAAAATAATGTGTTTTTTGAACCTTAAACCGCATAAACACATTTCATTTCACCAAATACATCAAATAATGTTCTTTTTAGCAACATCATATGACCCCTTTAAAGGTACATTTTTCGCATATTCTCACACAAGTTTTTAACAATAGTGAATTGGATGCTGTATTTATTTGCCTTTAAAGGATGCATTTTTGAGCTCTTCTTGCGTTGTCTGAAACTCTATACCTATTTCTAAAGGTGAATTGACTTGTTGAGAAGAGGCGCAAGCACTGAGATAGAGGAAGGCTGGCGTTCATTTTTGATTGGATATTCATTAACAGTTCAGCAGTTTAGCAGCAGTTTAACTTCCCGTCATGCTGCTGTTCTTATCATTTCTTATCTGTGACCATTCCTTCATGTTTATACTATGTTTAGAAGAGTTAAAAATGTGTAGAAAGGATTGAGTAAACAATAAAATAAGGTATATTGTGTGTTTGGTGAATGCTGGTTTGATCAGTATTGTTTATCCTGTACATAATTATGAGTGAAACTCTTTAAACCAGTGCTTCTCAATCAGGGGCCACGGGCCAATAGGGGGCCTCAGAGATCCTCCAGGCCTATGGTAAGTGTGCAGTCAGGTTAAAAGCGGCTGCTTTAGTGGTGTTTTTGCATCCCCCCCGTGGTGCTGTTTGGTATGGCAGCTGGATTTGTGCTTATTTGTTCAAGTTACTGTATAATAGAGCAGGGTAGCTTAAATGCTTTTGAAGTTGTAAAAAACATGAGCTTTGAATATGTTTAATATATAAGTTAGGTATATAAGTATAGCTTTAATGTACAAAGTAAGTTTGCAAAAAATAATACTGAAGATTTAAATCTATCTTGTATTTACTTAAATAGCAATAAGTTGACAAAAAGACAAGTTTTTGTGTGCATGTGTTTCCGTACTGCATGTGTATGCTTGCAAAAAGAGAGAGAGGTGGAGAAAAACAGTGCGCTTTTCATAGATAATAAAAGATGCACACACTGGAGACTTTTCGAGTTGTGCTTATGTAGTTGAGATGGCGTCACACATATCCAGGAAGAGGAAGACAAATATTTTTAACTGCATATTCAAGTGTGAAAACTGTAGCCATTTGACACTTTAAGCTGCTGATGTTTTTGTCATTTGGGCGTCGACACTCAGACATTGACACTGCAGAGCGGTAAGACCATTTTATTTAACATTAGGTAAAATAATAGGGCTACAGCAGATTATTTGTAAAAATGTGGTCATGAGTTGATATTAACTCCAGAAGCTCAATATTTGATATAGATACATATGTAAATATTTTGTGAAGCTCTTTAGACACACAAGGCCTGACATGAGAAGCATCCTCAGCGCACGTCAAGCCTTCAATGAGCAGTGAATTAATCTGAAGTCATTATGATCTCTGTCTATTGATTATCAACACAATAAAGTTCATGATGTTGTATAGATGATGCTCATAATGTCATAATTGTTTTATGATTGCAGAAATCATGGTGACGTCACTCGTAACGTCTCTTCCTCTGATCTTGGTGATCATGTCTGCAGGTGAGTCTCAGTTTCAGTCACTAAACAGACACTTTAACACTCGTGAAAAGCTGATTGAGCTTTTCACACTTTGTAGCTCTTAAACTGACATGAGTGTTTTGCTGTCAGCTAACATATAAAAATGTTCAAAATGAAAAGATATTTTATGTACATTGGTTCAAAACACCTGAAAAACCACCTAATTTGCTCAGTTCTGTGTTTCAGGGGTTGATGGTCAGCAGTATTGGGCAGTGAATTACGGCCCTTCATATGTTTGTGCATTAAAGGGTTCAACAGTGAAAATGTTCTGTGTTTTAAACCATCCATATGATCATCAGCTCACAACAGCCTTCTGGACCAAATCCATGGTAACCACAAATGAACCATGGTTTTGCTACACTAGCATTGTTTAACCATGGTATTTGTACAGCTGTGGTTATACAAATGGCAAAAAAAAGAAAAAAAAGAAAAAGAAAAATGGTTACTACACTTTTACTATAATAAATCCATGGTTTTGTTGGGGATTCAGTGACTCTGAGCTGCAGCAGTGACTCAAACCCTCCTGCTCTGAACTTCAGCTGGTTTAAAGGAGAAACATTTCTGAAATCTGGTGACACCTACAGCATCACTAACATTACGTCTGAAGCCAGTGGAAACTTTTATTGCTTTGCTAGAAATGAACATGGATCTAATGGCTCTGCTGCTGTGACTGTGAATGTCATGTGTAAGTCTACCTTTATTTTTGGTCAGATCTGGCTGATTATTTTTTGTATTATTTGTCTTACTGCATGTCATTTTACATTTTTGTCTTTTTAGATCCTCCAAAGAGCGTCTCGGTGTCCATTAGTGCGTCTGGTGAAATAGTGGAGGGAGATTCAGTGACTCTGAGCTGCAGCAGTGACTCAAACCCTCCTGCTCTGAACTTCAGCTGGTTTAAGGAGAATCAAAGCTCAGCTGTTGGATCTGGACAGAGTTTCAGCATCTCCAGCTTTAACTCCAGTCACAGTGGACGCTACTATTGTGAGGCTCAGAATCAACATGGATCTCAGAGATCAGCGTCTGTTTCAGTCTCTGTTAAAGGTATTCACTAGACAAACAGACACTCTTTGAGTTTCATCTGTCTCTAGTGTGAAATGATCTTCATGAACTTCTTGTTTCAGGTGTTCAGAGAGCTGCTCTGCACACAGTTATTGGGATTGTGGTGGGATGTGGAGGATTGCTCTTCATCCTCATCATCATCAGTGTGTTCATACGGTGAGTGAAGTTCGTCTGGACACTAAATTGAAGTCTTTTCAGTAAATGTAAAACATCTACAAACTTGATCTCACATCTACAGTAAATTAACTATTTTTGTTCATTTACTTGATGTATTGTAACACATTTTTAATAGTTTTCTCCTGTTTTTAGTAGAAAGAGGAGGAGAGACGGTGGAAGTGAAGATGGGAATCAAAAGCAGGCGAGTCAGCAAACACACACCTTCATCTACAACTGCAATATTTGATGATATTGTTTCACTGAAGTATAAATAAAATACTGTATCTGAAATCTTTCTCTACAGACGGCTGACTCGAGTGATGATACATACACAACTCTGGATCCAGTGTCCAGATCATCTGCTGACATTTACAGCACGATCAGAGTCAGTAAAGGTCTCAAACACTCTTTACACTCACATTCAGCAGAATCATATAAACACAGGCTGTTCTGTTGATCTGTCTCTCACAGTCTGGTGACTCCAGAGCTCCTGATGACACCTACACGGCTCTCCAGCTTCAGTCCAGATCTTCTGAATATGAGACTCTAGCAGGAACTTCAAGTCACTAAACAGACACTTTAACACTCGTGAAAAGCTGATTGAGCTTTTCACACTTTGTAGCTCTTAAACTGACATGAGTGTTTTGCTGTCAGCTAACATATAAAAATGTTCAAAATGAAAAGATACTTTATGTACATTGGTTCAAAACACCTGAAAAACCACCTAATTTGCTCAGTTCTGTGTTTCAGGGGTTGATGGTCAGCAGTATTGGGCAGTGAATTACGGCCCTTCATATGTTTGTGCATTAAAGGGTTCAACAGTGAAAATGTTCTGTGTTTTAAACCATCCACATGATTATAAGCTCACAACAGCCTTCTGGACCAAACCTGCTGTAACTGATGGAGATCCACCGAACTTGTGTTCAGACCCAGAAAAGAGAGGAAGAGTTCAGTGTGTCAGTGAATATAAAGACACTTACAGTATCACTTTGACGAGTGTAACAGAAGCTGATAAACACATCTACTACTGCAGATTCACTACAGACAGAGGAACATGGACAGGGATTCCTGGAGCTCGGCTGGACATCACAGGTAGAGCTATAGTGAACTCTCAGGGGGAGCTAGAGAGGCAGCTCCTCCCATTTGGCTCGAGATGGTCCTCACTGCAGAACACAAGATCCAGGGGGCATGGTTGGATCCAGAGCCAGCACCTCCCACCTTACATATACCCAAACCTACCAATCTCCACCCCCTGATCCCTAAACCTACCCATCTCCACCCCTAAACCTACCAATCTCCACCCCCTAGATGTGGATTCAACCACGCCCCCTGGATCTTGTGTTCTGCAGTGAGGGGCTGATGTTTGGCTCTGCAGCGAGCACCCTCTCCTTTAAGCTGATGAATCAGAGAGTTGTTGTTGTTGTCAGATCTGCAGGTGGAGACACAGAAGAGTGTGAAAGAGGGAGATTCAGTCCGTCTGATGTGTAAAAGCAGCTGCTCTCTGCCTCAACAAACAACATTCATCTGGTACAGAAACACACAGAGATTAACTACAGGAATCATCACAGTGAATCAGCTTCAGCTGCAGTCAGTCAGTCGTCATGATGCAGGAAACTATAGGTGTGCTGTTTCAGGATATGAACGTCTGAAGTCTCCACCTGTTTATCTTAAAGTAGGACGTGAGTACAAACTGATTCATTAACATTAGTGAATTATTCACACCTTTATAATTTTTTTTATTTCTTTTGAATTGAGTTTGTAAAGTTAGACATCAGCTGAAATCTAAAAGAAAATGAAAGATTCATGTGTTTGAAAGCCTAATTATATTTCTCATTTCTGTGTTTTGTGTTTCAGGGGTTGATGGTCAGCAGCATTGGGGAGTGAATTACAGTCCTTCATATGTTTGTGCATTAAAGGGATCAACAGTGAATATGGCCTGTACTTTAAAATATCCTCATTATCATCAGCTCACAACAGTCTTCTGGACCAAACCTGCTGTAACTGATGGAGATCCACCGAACCTGTGTTTAGACCCAGAAAAGAGCGGAAGAGTTCAGTGTGTCAGTGATTATAAAGACACTTACAGAATCACTTTGACGAGTGTAACAGAAGCTGATAAACACATCTACTACTGCAGATTCACTACAGACAGAGGAACATGGACAGGGATTCCTGGAGCTCGGCTGGATGTCACAGGTAGAGCTATAGTGGACTCTCACAAATACACCACAGACACACAAACACACA